CATATATTTCAGTTATAAGGATGATTTGCAAATGGAAAAAAGTAGTACTTTCCAAAACAGTGTTTTTGTAAAATAAATTAGTCTTGAATTTACGTCACATCATTTGCATATTGATATTTCAAATGTTTATATCTCCTATAAAAATACTGCAACCATACTACTACACTATTCACATATAAGTGATTTTGAAAGAAAAAAAAATTCCTTGATGTACACTTTAAAGAGCTTGCCATTTCAACACATCATCCCTCATTTGGCCTTGTATTAAAAGCATTGAGACAATAAGAAAGTGTCTAATGGATTTTGGTCTTTAGAATGACAAAGACGTTGCCATGATTGGCAAGGATAGTTGAGTTATCATCGGCGATACTCAGATTAAGTAATGACCTTTCTAATTGTCGATCTCAATTATCAGGTCACATCTTTGTGGTCCTGAGGGCGTCTGCTTAATAGAGGTACCACTGTATTTACTATAAAACAAACCTCTAGTTAGCGAACACCCTGTATTAAGCGAACACCAGGCAAGGTCTAGAAGATGACTGCTTAATTGAGGTACCACTGCATTTACTATATAACAAACCTCTAGTTAGCGAACACCCTGTATTAAGCGGACCCCAGGCAAGTCCCAGAAGGTGACTGTTTAATTGAGGTTTCACTGTTTACTGTAAAACAAACCTCTATTCAGTGGACGCCCTTTATTAAGTGGACACCAGGCAGGTCCTGAGATAGCACAGCAGATTGTGGTTTAAAGATTGAGAAAAGTCAGTACAATTTATAAGTAAATCACGATCGTAGGTGCCTGCAATATTCTATGCGGGAAATTTGAATACAGTTTGAACAGACTAAAGATTTTATCCAAACCTGTTGAGCTACAGCTTTGAGCTGTATGTTAGTTAGACATCTTGATGAAAAATGCTGGAGCTCCTCGAAATTCTATATTTAGAARATAATAGGTAACTACGCATGCGTAGACGTTTGAAAAACGTAAGAAACCACTTCTGATTAACGTTTGTTTGCCATTGATTTTTAGCTTTTATTTTTATTTAGGTAAATGGAAACACGTTTGTCCATGTCATTGAAGAGGATACCTAGTAAAAGGGCATTTGTATAATGCACCTTGTCTTTTTGAATTAGAAGATTTTCTCCCTTGCTGTGATTCAAACCGAACCTAGTTGGCAGCATGTTAAATTGCAAAAGAAAAAAAGAAGTCAGTTGAAACTCACTGTGATTATTTTGAAACCTATAAGTAAAATGCTTTATTTTTAGTGCAAACCTTTTGACTCGTGTAAACAGGAAAAGTTAAGAAAGTGGATTTATTCAGCTCTACAAAATGCATGAATTATGAGGCCAAAAATTCTCTTTTTTGTATTCATTAAACATTCAACATAAAAATAGTTTCTCCTGGCCGTGAAAGCTGATTTCCGTGATTCGTTGACATGCTTTATGGCAATGAAAACGAGCTGCAACATCTGTGGGAACAAAGCTAATATCTAACCACTGGCTTTCCAAATCTTGTGTTTTTACTAAAAATTAAAATAAAAACTAAACTAGTTTAGTATTCATAGTCCTAGATAAAAAAATAACAACAGTCAGATTTGAAAAATAGCTCTCAGCTGTTTTCATCCTAAAAGGTTTTTTTTTACCCGCAATAAATATCAAAACTTTAGGAAATTGTCACCACAAAACCAAAACATTTGCTATCGGGTTTGTTTGATGTGCCGATTTTAATTTGTTTGTTTAACACGCGATTGTGTGGGTCTTACAATTTGTAAAAGAACCACTAGAAGTACACCCGGTCAATACATCATACCTACGGGCATTTGGTCCCCTAAGGTGAAGCGCAAATTTAAAAGAAACAATAAGGAGGAAAAATAAATGATCATTAATGTAGTTTCATTTGTTTTGCAAGCGTTGGCGTAGTAGWAGCATAACAGCTATCGGAAATGAACCTTAGTACTAAAAGTCAGATACCTTTAACTAGATAACTTTATTTAACGTCGATATGTGCAATAAGACAAAGACTCGTTATAAATACATTCGTGCTGATATTAAATCTAACGTAAAAATATACGAATATTATGCTACTATATTTGCAAGGTTTCTTTCCAAATTTGCCATTCACGAACGAATCAACCTTCATATTTGCCAAATCAAATTTGTTTAATAACATAGCCGCCATATAACGCGCGCTCTGATTGGTAAATTAGCGTGAGCGAGCAGCATCCAAATATCGGTGGTGCACGTTGACTTGACTGAAAAGCGTGCGCTATGTAATGGAAATTTCGTTAGAAAAAAATCTGAGTTTTTTCAATTAACAAAAAAATTTGTTTACCGTGTATAAAAGCATTGGTCATTGATTAGAATGCTTCCATCGAGTTTTTGGATGCGCGTGGGAGGCTGCTACGCACGAAGCCAAAAGCGCAAGAGTCGCATGAGGCGTAGCCGTAGCGCACTCCGTCATTGAGTGAGTATCAAGACCCGTGCACACAACGCATCTGTTGCGCGCGCACACATGACGAGCCGCATATGAAGGTTGCTATAGAAGTTGTTCGTAATTTATAGTCTTATAGTCGACTTTTGGTGTGAATAAACGTCAATCAAATCCTCCTATATGTTATAAGGGATGGACATTTCAAATTTATGTTGCACGATATTTCTTTTGTTACAAACCTTGCACGCAATTGTTTTCGTGTTTGCTCAATATTTCACGTCCCTTAGGGATGGTCCATTAGATAATCGAGGGGCAGGTTGCAGGAATTTATGTTGCACGATATTTCTTTTGTTACAACCYCTGTACACAATTTTTTCGTGTTTGCCTGATAATTCTTTTCTGAAATTAGAGGTCGTGCGATATTTTTTTTCGTAGGTGAAGTGGTTGCTCGATATTTTTTGGGGGGATTTACGCAACCTTCCCCTCAATTATCTTATTGTCCGTCCTTCCCTATCTATAGTAAGCTCATGTAATCACTCAGGCGGAAAAGTAATGAATCAACTAACGTACACATGTATAGTTTGTCACCATTTTTTTTTTTTTTTTTTTTTGCGATTTTTTAAAAATAGTTTATTAATTTGATTTAAAGGAATAATTGAGCTTTATCGAGGATTTTTCGAAAAATTGTTTTAAACAAGGGTGAAACACTATTGAAGAAATAGAAAACGCGCGCGCGTGCTGTGTGGAGTCATAAAACACGCCGGGATTGGCAGAACACGAGAGAAGTGTTAGGAGAAGCACGATGCGTAGAGGAGTGCTTCTCGACACTTCTCGAGTGTTCTGCCAATCCCCAAGCGCTTTATAACTCCACACAGCACAGCAAGGAAGTTTTTTATTTCTTTTATAAAATGAGAAGGGCGCGTGCGTGCTGTGTGCTTTCATAAAGTACGCGCTCCCAACCAATCAGAACGCAAGATTTAGAACAGTTATTTTATAAATACTAGTTATACAATGCTTTCGAGTTGTATGCCATGGAATATCTCGCGGGACACTTGTATTTCCTAGTATACATACAAGCCTTAGTTAAGAGTGCAAATGAACCCTTCGACAATACATTCAGTACTGGTTCTGCATAAAGTAAATAGTTGATTGGTAAAATATTTCTTGATTTGAGTGATGCGTCTCTAAGTTATGAAGGTTTATACTTACAATATGTTAATGAGTGTGACGTCAGGTAAGGTATTTGAGTATTTTTGTCGTAACTAGTAATACTAAATGCTGACCATTTTGAAAATAATTTTTTTAAATAGCTTTCATGTAAACCATGAGTAAAATAATGATGCTTTTTAAATACTATATCTATGAACCAGTTCGATTTTGTATATTTAATTAAGCCTTAATAGATGTCACACTTATTAGCATATTGGAAGTATAAACCTTCACAACTTAGAAACGCATCACGAAATCAAGAAATATTTTACCAATGTGTGTACACAGAGTGTGTAAGTGTGTGTAAGTATGTATAAGTGTGTGTGTATTTGTGTGTAAGTGTGTGTAAGTGTGTGTAGAGTGTGTAAGTGTGTGTAAATGTGTGTAAGTTTGTGTGAATTTGTGTATTAGTGTGTGTGTGTGTGTGTATGTGTGTGTAAATGTGTGTAAGTTTTGTGAATTTGTGTATTAGTTTGTGTGTGTATGTGTGTAAATGTGTGTAAGATTGTGTGAATTTGTGAATTAGTGTGAGTGGTGTGTAAATGTGTGTGACTTTGTGTGACTTTGTGTATTAGTGTGTGTGTGTGTATGTGTGTATGTGTGTAAGTGTGTGTAAATGTGTGTGTGTGTGTTTATGTGTGTGTAAATATTGCATTTACCAAGAAAATGCAATGACTTAGAGCATATTGCATGGCCGCGCGGAAATACGGATTTTATCTCCGAGGGCTGAGGTAATATCTTACSAGTGAGCGCAGCGAAGGAGTAAGATATTCTTAACACGAGCAGATTTATAAGAGTAAATTCCGTATTTCCGCGCGGCCATGTAATATTCTGTTTAATATGTATGATTATCGATGAAATACAATTTTGCTAAGAATTCTTACAAATGGTGGTTCTTCACATGTGAAGATATCATGTGATATACAACGGCTTCCCTGCATTCTAATATGGAGACTACCCCGTTATCCAAGATCTTGCTCGTCGTGGAAATTTCACGGTGTGATCCACTTTGCACACCACCTATTTCATGGTATGAAAACAAACTACATTGTTGTTTTAAATAGAGCTTCCATGTTGATATTACGTCGCTTTCTCAGATATCAGATTCTATTTTGTTATTCTGAGCTTTTGTTGTGTTACTCTTTGTTTGTAAAGAATGTTTTAGGGACTTTGTCTGAAGACGCTTTACTCGTTTTTAGAGCCTTTGCAAAGTTTTTTATTTTATATATTTTTCTAAATACATGTACACATTCCATTTTCGCGATATATAACAACAGGCCTTTTGCAATAGATTGACACGTGATTGTTACTGGATGGCAAAAAAATTGGACTTGCTAATGTCGCATCCGAAACCTTTTCAAAAATACTTTTTGCCCTTATAAGATACTTTCGATTTCAAGATATGAAGCAATTTAAAGCTTGTTTGCCATCCAGCAGAGCCTTTCCCAAGGGACCTTGAGCTGAACTGGTTATCAAAGTCACATATCAGCACGTGACTGTTTGTTGCAAAGGGCCTATTATATGACAACGTAACAAGAATGCGGTGAATGTCGCTGATAGCCGATGGAAGATCATTCCTGCAATAAACTATTTTGACTTCCTATCGGGGGAAATATTTAAACTAGAGTGCATCTCGATCTATTTCATGATCCCATCAGATTGCTAAACGACGAGGTGTTGATCTAGGTGTTATATAGTGCAATGTTGTTGTTGAATCAAAATATTTTTGACAAGAAGCTTCTTTGGTAAAAATGGCCATAAGAACTAAAGTTTTATAAGTTAAAAGAATAAAGCTGCCGGAAAAACATTTCATATTTTAGGGAAATAATGRCACACCCATCAACCAATCAGCGCACGCCCGAGTTATTTTAATGGCTTTGCTAGAATCTGATGGAACCAAGATTTATTGAGAGATGCACTCCTCCAGTAATTTTCCCCTGTTCCTATTTTGTCATTATATTCTTTTTTAAATTCAAAACATCGATTTATTGAGCAGGGGCGCGGTGATTTTGTCAAAACTACCGAACTATTCCCCCACACGGTACAACAACAAGAACATCAGCATCACCATGCAAGATGAAGGTGTGCTAAACCAAAACTGTAAAATTATTTCACGTGGACTGCATGACTTACTATTGCCGACATAATGGACGCTTGCAATATGAATRTATGTACATTTATATATATATTTTTTTACATTCATGCATTGAAGCGCGCGCATTTAATTCCCTGCCTCGCCATATTTAAGGGATAAAACGCGCGCACATGTATCCGTACTGTGATATGAACACGCTGGTTGCTATATGTAGAGCACGAGAGAAGCAAGCTTAGGAACAAGATGCTTAGCCGCGAGTGTTTGTCTCGTTTTTCGAGTGCCTTACAGCTATCAGAGTGCTTTTGTCACAGTACAGTACAATGTTTAATGTGCGTATATTCAGTTCTTGATGGACGCGGGAGGTTGCTAAGCACGAAAGGAGCGAAACAGTTGCACGAGGCGTAGCCGCGAGTGTAACTCAAGCTTCTTGAGTGCTTAAGCAACCTTCCAAGTGCATCCAGGGCTGGACATACGCACAACTAAACATTGGCCATAAAAAAAAAAATTTGTTGATCCCAAAAAAAAACTCCATCTCAAATTCAAATTTTGTTCTACCGAAGTTTTCATTACATAGCGTGCGCCACTCAATCACGTCAGCGTGCACCATCCATTTTTGAATGCACGCTTGCAGCTGTTTTATATCAAACATATTTAGTTAAGTATGTATTTCTATATACTTTTCCAATAGTCTTTTTCAATTCTATTTACGTTTTACAATTAATATTAATCTTGATAATATAATTGCGGTTTCATAGTTTTAGTTTGAATGATTTTCTCTAGTTCTAAGCTAAGTCATGATTATGTCTAAATGTCGTTAAAGTATCTAATTAACATTTACATTTATATAGGATTTTTGGATTTTATCGTAATTATGTATTTGAAAAGCCACAAGTTTATGCGTGTTTCACTTTTAGGCCCCGTCCACACTATACCGGATAAATTTGAATTCGCAACTTTCACACCGAAACCAAAAAAAAGGTTTCCGTCCACACATGAAAACGGATAAAATGTTTCGCGTCCACATTAGTCCGCTCAGAGGCGGCAAATAGGCTTCATTGCACATCTGAACATGTGCGTCGAAGCTGAAATTGAGCCCACGGTGAATTTTTAGTCTTCCCGCCATGTTCCCATGACAATAATGACGTCATCGTATTCAAAAAAATTCGGATACGAAATGTTCTCCGTCCACACTAATACGGCTAGCCGGCGTTTTTCCACTCTGGAGACCGTATTCGAAAGAATTCGTTTTGGGTGAAGAATYGTTCCGGAATCGCCCGGACTAGTGTGGACGGTAGGCCTAACCGAATAAATAAAAATTCGGATTCAAATTTATCCGGCATAGTGTGGACGGGGCCTTAGGTGTTACCCTATTGAAATTAAGGACTTTACTTCACTTTACATTACTTTTATCAAATATTTTTGAACGACTTTACGCGAGCGTGTCTCTGTCCTCTATATAAACACGGTAGCCAGCCAATCAGCGCGCGCGTCAACTATTTTATAATATATATGGATATAGAGGAGCATCGTGAATTTAAGATAACGATAAACGCCACCTTAAACAATAAAATAGTCTGYATCTATTAATTGTTACGTTAAGCTTCCAAGCTAGGTAGGAACGGGAGGCTTAGCCGAATGTTAATCGAAGTATTATGATCATCCGGGTGGATGTAGTCMTGAGAAGAACTGTTTGATGTGACTGAYGTTTCGACAACCTTAGCTCGGCTTAGCCAAGTCTTTCTCTTGCTTTTCGAGTGCTCTACAGCTTTGGACGCCATCCTTGCTCCTCTTTGTTAGACCTAAATCAAATCCAGGCCACGTGCCTCAGTAGGGAATATCATAGAAACGCCTTGATTGACACTCACCAAAACGACGACGATCCCCCGCGTAACTTTTGAGAAACACTGTAAATGCTACAGCCATATGTATGAGCTCCAGTAAATATAGACCTTGGAAGCAGCACGTCGGAATGCACCTTACTTCTGAGGACATAACAATTGGTTTCCAATTATCAGAAGATTGATATTTTATTGTTTTGTCCTCCAAATTGAACTCCTTTCATATCACGCGCGAGGGATCTATACGATACTTTTTTATAAAGTATAAGGTTACACATAACTAACCATTTGCAGCACGGTTCTTTGTTGATTATGCATGCTGTTTGGATGTCGGACTTTCAAAGACCGCAGATTTGACCTGGATTCAAATGACTGCAAGTTTCCCCTAGTCCTGACTCTCAAGAGGAGACGTTTTAAGCCTTGTCGGTAGTTTTTAAGACAGAAAAAATAAATACACGGGTTTACTGCTGAATTTAAAAAACCAAGGTAAGTCACGAGGAAGTGAATGAACTCTGACTTGGCCTGGATATCTGGGGGGATATTCCATTGCCACAGTATTTGAAATAGACAAACAAAAACGTAAAACGGTCCCCACAGACCAATAAATGCTATCACGATTAACAACGATGTATAGGAAATTTGATTGTTTTTTCTCTTTCGAGTAACACGCTGCTGGTCGTGGAGCATGCTCGCGATATTTCTTGAGTTTTCGCGTAGTTTGTATATTATACGAGAATATAATATAACGATGCAAATGGATGGGATTATAAATGATACTACTGCAACTACTCCAATGAAAATAGGAAAAGATGACTGGCCTTTAATTGAGGGCCAAATGTTGATGCACTTCGTACGGCCGTCTTCCTCCGTTATTCCGAATGTTACGAGATAGGGTGAAAACAACGCCATGGCGACAATCCAGGTTATTGACAATAGAACCCTGTTAATAACTGGTCTAGAAAGTGGTGGATGAACTGGATATGAAACAGCCAAATATCTGTTGATTGCTATGACAACAAGACTCAAAACTGACACGACTGGAGATATATCAGTAAGGAAGAAACAAACCTTACAGAGAACGTTACCAAGCGGCCCATCCGCAAACCAGTCATTGGGTCCTTCCGCTGTAAGCTGTGATATTCTAACTGGTATTGCAACCAATGGAATAAGTAGGTCTGATACGGCCATGTTGACGATTAAGTAGTTGAAATTTGTCCTCATGGYAATATTCCAGTAAACGACGGCTATGACAAGTAGGTTGCCGACAAGTGAGCATACCAAAAGGACGGAAAACAGGGTGACTTTTGTACTTACTCCAACAACTAAGTCTTTATAGACATCATGATCGATAAAACTGGAATTGTTCTCCATATTTGACGACCTTCTGAAAAATCAGGAAAGAGTGCAAGTCAATTGTCGCAACCAATGGCACCTGTTAGAAATAGGGAGTTGCATTTTAAAAATACAGAAAAACGTTTTATTAGGATATATAATCACGGAATTGACGTCATTTAGTGCGGTGTGCCCACGTCCTACAATAATTGGATTTGCCAATCCAACTGGGCCATAAGCTCCTTATCATCTAAACTAAAGAGTTCGAAAAGCTGCGTAGAAATGAAGTGTCTACTTGCAGTTTCTTTAGTCGAGACATTTTACATCATCCATGTAGTTTATCTTTTAATCTATGGGCAAAATTTGAAGTGGTTTTCTTCTTATCAAAATGATTTAAGTTAAAGGTTTTTCCTTTATTCTAATCTTATCTAATTCTATATATCTATATATCTAATTCTCCCCCCCCCCCCCCCCCCCCCAAACGGTTTAAAGACTCCTTAAGGAAAGATTATTTTAACCAAACGTAAGTTATAGCATTGCGAAGTTTGTCGTCTCGTTAGCGACTACCGTTTCAACGACAATCAATCAAAGAACTGAATTAAAGATGTTAGTCAATCCTCTACAAACTCTAATAAAGTCCAAAATACCCTAAAGTATTGTGTCATTTACTTCAATTATTTGATTCACAGTCGTTGAAACGCTTGTGGGCGAACAACGAGACATCAAAGTTCGCGTTGGAGGGTCGCACTTCAATGATAATGGTACTAATACTTTCCATATTTTTACCTTGGATTTTAAGCACTTGAAATATTGGTTTAATACAATAACAAAATTCGGAAGCTTTTAGACTTTTTTTTCCGTGTGCCGCAATCAGTAGTATTCTAACCTGACATTGTATACTTTTTTTCCGCGTTAATAACATCTAGTTGCATTAGTTGATGTTATTATATATATAATCAGATATAAGTTGCCCTGTCCTGATTGGTTAACAACGAGCTCACTTTAGATCAAAACGATAATTAAGACATGAGCCTTTCGAGAATACGG